ATTTTCTTTCTGGTACGTGCATGGTGGTTGTAGTTCTTTACATTTGCTTAACGTAATATTTGAGAATTCAACTAAATGAAAAGCCGCTCCAAGACGCTGGCAAATATCTTCACCGCCACCATTTACGCCCTTCGATASTCATCGCCATTGCCATTGCCATACACTGAGCACAAAGCTAGTTTAGGCTTTAACCAATGCTGATTTGTACTCTGTTTTCTTTTCTGTTGGTTCTCCTGACATTCCAAAACTCAATCATGTTGACACCCCACCTCTCGTTCAACCCATCCACTTATCCCCCGAATCCCCCGAAAAGCTATCGCCTCGAATTGATGCGCCAAGTGTACAATGTCGAGAGTCCGCCCTCGTCCATGCTCTTCGACACGTCCAGCATTGAGGCGAGCGGCAGTGGAGGAGCAATAGCAAGGGAGCTGGCGAAGCCTTCGGCTCCCTCGACTCAGTACCAGGCTCATCCTCAGCCGCAGTCGCCGCCTCAGAGTCAGCTCCAGTCTCAGCAGCACATGGAGCAGCCCGAGTTGAAGCCTCAGCTGCGTCAGGCGTATCCCACGCGTTTGACATTGGCCAATCTGATACCTTCTAGGTTTGCTTTCCCTTTCGGGGTTTATCATTTGTATGTATTGTAGCTGCTTTCCTTAATGTCTGCATGAGCCTTATCCTTTAGCTAATCTTAATGTGGCTTTCGATGTAGTCCTCTAGGCTTTATTCTCGTATATATGTATGCTCGTATTTCTTTATCATTTGCCCTTTCACTTGGCTTTCTTTGCTCGGCCTTTAGCAATGCGCACTGTTTGCTGTAAATAGCTTGGCATTTCGGATGTTCTATAACTTTATCCTTTCATACTTGCTATTCGTTTTAGACAACGCTTGGAGCTAATGCGCGAAATGTATCACAACGAGGCTGAGTTGAGTCCCACCTCGCCGGACTACAATGTGGAGAGTTTGACTGGGGGCGATCCATTCTACGATCGCTTCCCGTGGTTCCGCATGGTTGGTCGCTCCTTCATCTACTTGAGCAATCTGCTCTATCCGGTGCCCCTGGTCCACAAGGTGGCCATTGTCAATGAGCGTGGCGATGTGCGTGGCTATCTCCGCATTGCTGTGCAGCCGGTGCTGGATGAGGAGTCCATCGACTTCAACAATGGCGTGAAGCAGTCGGCTCGCCTGGTCTTCAATGAGGACGATGCCAAGCCCAAGTACCGTGCGCTCAACGAAAAGGACGATGTGCAGCGTTACATAGATAACGGAGGATTAGATAGCAAACTGGAAGGTGAGTTRGCAGAAGATTTGATTCAAAAGCTTTTCATTTATTAACACCTCATTTTTATAGAACTAGAGGATGCAGACTCTGGTCGCGGCATCGACTCCAACTCAGCCTCGGAGTATCACGAGCAGGCCGAGGAGCCTGGCGAGCACTTGCAGATSGGCAAGGAGTTCACCTTCCGTGTGACCGTGCTGCAGGCCACGGGCATTGGCGCCGAGTATGCCGACATCTTCTGTCAGTTCAAGTGGGTTTCAAGTGGCCATAAA